ATAGTACATCAGGCAGGGGGCTGCTAGCCTACATGCACACCGGCCGTGGGACATAGGTTGTCCTGAAACCCTCCAGTGATGGGTGAGTGTTGGGGGCCGGACCTGTTATTACATGTATTTTGTGAGATAAATTTAAGGTTAAAATATGACTCACTTTAAATAGTGTACTTCATCATAATGTAATTGTATTCATCAAATGTATGTGAGGGATAAATTCATGAACTAGATCTTGTGCATTTTTCTCTCGTAGGGGTCTCTCCGGGGGTTTTCCGTGGTGTTTCCCGTACACTGTATAAGTTGTATTCGTCGCTGTTGCATGTTGGTTGACTTTGTGTCCCAAGGATCTCAGTCTCGTAACAAACCAGTAGATTTTGGGGATACATCGGTGCTCAAGACTCTTCGTTTCTTCTTGCCTGGAACCCGGGATCACTTCCCCTCCTCGGAGTTGATAACGAGACTCCACCCAACCCCTGCCCCTCGCGGAGGTTACTACAATAGTGTTAAGTGAGGGATTCCATACACAAAACACATTGTGATGGTGTCATTTTTCGAAACGGCGCCCCCTAGCGGCACATCAAGCAGTGTTTACTTTCTTTTATTTGAAAAACATCCGTTCAAATTTAACCAAATCACCCCTTGATATTCATTGATCAACCACAAATAACTTGGCAAGATTTCAAATTCATGACGTCATCAGACCGGAAGTTACGTCTTTGAGAATTTGAAAACGACTATATTCCAAATTTAATTTATATCATTTGATCTATGACCTATATCTTCGTAGCCCAAATAACGATATCCATTACAATGTTCACTTTTTCCGCTATAATAACGTCATCAAGCCAGAAATAACTTGTATGTGTACATGAGATTGGTTACTGAATTTTATCAAAAAATAATTAATTGTACTGGAAAGGATTTAATTTCGTGATCCTTTGTTCTTACATAAAAATATTCATAACTTAACTCGGCAGTGCTTAATGAAAAAAATGCCTGCCCGACCACTCTGCGTTTGTAACAACAAACGCGGAAAAGCCTTTCTCTTTGTTCTCATTTTTTTCTTTGTTCTTCTTCTTCTTCTTTTTGTCGCCTAAATCCCATAGACTTTGTACACCTTTTTTCTCAGTGCCACTTTTGCCATTAATCTTTTGTCATACATCATTCAAAGTAAGCATAGTCATAGTCATTATAGCAGAAATGTGCCCCAAAGTGTGATGTCATGATGACGTAATCCTAGGTCACGTGACATCATCATAAACGTGCATATGTTGAAGTCCTATATCTACAGAACTGTAAGTCCGATTGAGTTGCAACTGGGTATGAAGGTAGACCGGGGTGTGTTATAGGTAAAAATTGAGGTGACGTCATGATGACGTCATCGTGCGATTTTATATGATTTTTTGAAATTTTGGACCTTAATTTTTAAGCCATATCTCACGAACGCAAGATGCAAAATTCAAAATTCTTTTTGTATTATGTTTGTTAGGTAACAGGTATATGTACAAAATTTTGAAAAATGTGTGACATCATCATGACCTTATCAAAAATGCGATTTTTTAAAACACATATAAGGGAAAATATGATCGTCATTAAACTTGGTAGATAGCTAGATAATGGTACTAGAATGCAAAATCTGAAATGACGTCACCATGACGTCATCGCATGATTTTTTATTATATTTTTACTATTTACAATTACATTCCCCTTCCAAAATTTAACACTTCCTTTCATTGGATTGACTTCAAGCTTGGTACAAACCAAGACCACAATGCAAAATATGTGCATTGACAAGTGTTATCAAGATGACATCATCGTACGGCATGTGACGTCATCATAATGGTGCATTTTTCATATTGAGAAAACTATCAGTCCGAATGGTTCAAAATTGCATATGAAGGGAGGCCGATACGTCTGATTTAATATGGATTTATTTCTTTTTGATGATAATATATCTCACAGACGCTACATGCTAAATTACAAAATTCTTGTACCGTATAATTTTAAACGTTGTACATGCATATAGTCTGGGACGTCTTATTGATAAAAACAAAAAGCATAATGCGGAAAAGCCCTATGTTCTGTTGCAAACAGACATAGATCTCTAGTTTTGCATTTTTTTTCTTCTTTTTTCAGCCATTCCCCATAGCATTTGTACACGTTTTTACAGTGGAAGGCACTTTGGGCACTAAAATCCAAAATCACTAAAATGCAACCCCTACTCTGATCCCTATATACTGTCCCCTCCCCTTATCCAACCCCTACAACAACCCATCCCTACCCATACACATCCCCAACCCAACCCCTACTCCGATCCTATATCCCGCCCCTGCCCAACCCCCTCCTAACCAACCCCTACATCCATGCCCATCCTCTCCCTACCTGTCTCTCCCTACCTGTCTCTCCCTACCTGTTCCCACCCCACCCCTACAAATCCCCACCCCACCCAAACTCAGTATTCCAACCCTCTCCCCACCCCCCCCCACCCTGCCCCACCATCCTAGCTCCCCTACTCATCCTATTTACACAAACCCTAACTCCAACCCTATCCCCCAACCCACCCCACCCCACCCTCCCCTACCCCATCCCTACTCCAACCCCATAAACTAAAAGATCAAACCAGAAGCTCATGCACATCCCCAAAATGCATAGTGTACATGTACATGTTATACCGGTATACACACATGTACATGTTATACCAGTATACATGTACATGTAA